CAGTTATTCAGATTCTTGGTTGGGATGACCTTTTTATTTAAGTATGTGATTTTCATCCCATGTCCAGCCATTAAGTAGTCTTCAGGGAACCAATTCTGAAAATGTTGGCTCTGTGGTTTCGAATGCCTTATAGTTTGTGCAGAGCATGTTTTGCTAATGCCAGTTATGAAGCACCTGCCAGGGTTATTTTCTGTCATGTTTCAACAGACTTTTGTGGTATTTTTGAATATTTAAGATTTTTAAATTTTGGAAATGCCATTTTACATACTACTATCTGATCATTGAGAAGATAAATAAATCCTCTTTCACAAATCCTAAAAATGCAGTATAATTTTGTCTTTCAACACAACTACAACAATCTCCAAGTTTCCATAGACAATAAAGGAAAGTGTTTTTAGAGCAGACAAGGCATTTGATGATTCAAGGAGGTGTTTTAGATGCATAGTGAGAACTAGGGAAGAAGAAAATGTGGAACTGTAACCCAAAAAAAGTAGTTTTTGCTTTTTAAACAGTGCCATTAGTTGTGTTTATATATGTTTGACATTTCTTACATGCTAGCTATTTTCAACTTCAGCTCTTCTTTAATGTTTCTGCCATGGAAGACTGACTTCAGGGTGAATTATATCTCTAAGTTTCTGTAGACAATAAAGGAAAGCGTTTTTAGAGCAGACATGGCATTTGATGATTCAAGGAGGGTCTCGGGACCCTGAGAAAAAAAGCAGGACTAAGACCATGTGGAATTATTTTCCTGTCAGCTAGCTAATTCAGTTAGTCTGATTCTCTAATGCTTAGCATCCTTTTAAATGGTCTACTCCAAATAAATCACAGTATTTTTCCTTAGTGATAATGCTGCGAAAGAGATTCGAAGCATTGCATGCCTCCCCATTTCTTCCCCAGGTAGGATATCTTTCTTTCCCAACTGTTTTCTTTCTTAGGAATGTTCTAAACTCTAAAAATCACTTTTGCTTCACCTGTAATTTTTGAAGCTTAAAATTGCAATTCAGTACTAGTTTGGTTCCCACCTTTCAGTAGGGCCACAGGCTTTGTAGATCAAGGTACATTTTAGTTTTTCTTTGCCTTTTCCTTTCCCCCCCCCTTAAATTTCTTTTAAAGAAAAAATAAAATATACTGAAAACATTGTTGCTTGGGGATAGAGCTTCTTAGAATATACAAACTCTTTAAATCTTGTTTGGGTTTGTACCTGTGTAACCCAGTGGAAAGATTGGATCTGGAACATCCCAGAGATGTCCCAGCTCCATCTTCTTTCCAAGTTTTCTCAAAACCCATACACCATCACTGCCACCGCTTGGTTCCCGTAATACACATTTCTTTGCAATCTAGAATTTCTTTAGGCTTTGGGAGACAGCTTGAATGGCATGTATTTCCAGCAACTTGGTAGAACAATTTATAGGTTCTATATGGGCATCTAGTACTTAGCTAAATGAACTCTACCTCTCTCTCCTCTCTCTCCTTTCTCTCTTTCAGCTTGGCAGTGACCTTGGCGGGGGCATTGGAGGAAGTCCGGCAGTAAGTGCCATCCATTTTTTTCACCATGGGAAGCGCTGCCCCCTGTTTGATGCCTTTCCTATGTACACATTATCAGACCAGCCACTGCTACTATCTAGAACTGCACACCAAAACCTCTATTACAGTATATGCAGAGTAGAAAGTAGTATAGGGTTACTTGGAATCTTTGGGGTCATGCACCACATATGGTGTTACGGACGTCTTTAGGGATTAGTACTCTGGTGCCTATAGAGATCTTTGTCTTTCTGACATTAAAAAGCTAAAGGAAATGGAACCTCCCATCCTGACTAGAGAATGCTCTTATTCCCTGCTGTCATCTAGAAAGAACTTGAGAGAGCTGGGTGGACTCAGAGTGAGACTCTCCTCATAAACGAGTTAGTTTGGGGGGTGTGAATATCCATCTCCCTAGGAGAGCTTCCTACTAGATATTTATGCCTAAATGGGGAAATAAGACTTTGCTGAACTGGAGTAGAAATGGAACTGCTATTTAAGTTGGATGCTTCTCCCTCTTTCTATAGAAACAAACTCCCCCTCCTTTGTTAGGGTACCTGTAGGCCTTTTGCACAGAATCATGGAAGCTAAAATTGGAAACAAATACACAAAATCTTGGATTACGGTGTTCCTATATCCTACTGAGTACTCTCTTTCGATAAAGCTTCTAAAGAGTGTGTGTATCTTATCAGTAATGAAAAAATAACTGTGCTGATTAAAAAAGAAAGAATATACTATTCAACTCCTAAGAATCTAATTACGGTGTTTTCTTATTGATTTATCAATAGTGCTAAAATATATAGCAACATTTTAAGGACTATTAATCTGCTCTTCCTGATCTCTCCCTTCCCTTCCCTCCCCCCACAGGTGGGACAATCCTTCATCCCATCATCAGTGCCTGCAACCTTTGCTCCTTCACCTACTCCTGCCGTGGTCAGCAGTGGTCTGAATGACCTGTTTGAACTGTCCACAGGCATAGGCATGGCTCCTGGTGGATATGTGGCTCCTAAAGCTGTAAGTAAAGAGTTAGCATGGCAATACTTTCTTTCTTAATGGACAGGACCCAAATCATTTCACTTCTAACATTTGTATTACTTCCACTGGTAATAAATCCAAGGTTTCGGCCCTTGTTCTGGAGGATTTAAGAGGGAGATGAAGGGTGGTTTCAAACTTAGCAATAGGAAGCATCAATAGCACTCTTGTTAGACATTTTTATAATGAGACTTAAAATTGGAAATATTAAATATTTGAGTTTTGTTTCCATGTTTAGAAATATTGTCTAGTTTGTCAACATTGAAGTTAATCTACTGAAAATCTGGTATACA